GGGGTGTGTGTGTGTGTGTGTGTGTGTGTGTGTGTGTGTCAGCTTTCCTCCTCAAAAACCCACTAGAGCCTGGGGAAGGGCTTGGTGAGGAGCCAGAAAGTCTTCCAGGCAGCCAGGTGTAGGAAAACCTGTCCCGCAGGTGGGTGAGGGGCTGGCACGGAGGCTATGGGTGAATCAGTGCTCTGGAGGGTGAGGGCCGGCCCTGCGCCACTCTGTCCCAGGAGCACCTCGTAGAGACGGAGCCACGCCCGATGCCACACAGCAGCACTTCCTATGCTCAAGCCCCGTGGGTCAGCAGCACCGTGCGCCAGGGAGAGCAAGGCTGATCTCTAAGGCACCGAGAGACCGGGGATAGCCATTACCCTCCGTAGTTCACAGCGACTGAAGGGCAATCCCAACAGTGTCAGAGCAGTCCCAAGAGAGGGTGCTTCAGAAAATACCAGCTCTTGGGTAATACTTTCAGTGCTGGGTCAAAGAACCAACATACCCCAAACTCACTGCTGACTCACAGCGACCCTACAGGACAAGATGGACCTGTCCCCTGTGGGTTTCCGAGGCTGACTCTTTACAGGAGTAGAAAGCGCCATCTTTCTCCCGTGGCGCAGCTGGTGGTCTCCGACTGCTGACCTTGGGCTAGCAGTACCACACATCACCACCAGGCCACCAGGGTGCTTGGATTAAAGAAAGCAGTGGGTTTTTTTGTTTTGTTTTTTTTTGTTCAACAGCCTGATTACAACAGGCATATTTTACAAAGTTCAAAGACAGTCTGTGACCTGTCCTCTGTAATCGATGCATGTCACAGATACCAAGTAGCCGATGGGGCACCAAGGGCAGGTGAGGAAGCAACCTCCTTCACCACGGTCTAGCTCACCTTCCACACATCACCCCTTCTATGCCACCATGACCCCCACTTCCCTCTGTCAGCCATCCCATCCCACTATCATCCCCTTCCCTCTGTGACCCCCACCCATCACACCCTCCATCTCTCCAACACACCCTCGTTCTTCCATTCAACTCCTCTCGCCCCCATGTTAGTACACTCTGGCCCTCTATGCAAACAGCGGCCCACTGCAGGGGTCTAGAGCGCCTGGATCAAGAGGGCAGCTGGGTGGCCATGGAGGGCGGAGACTCTCACGGTGCTGAGAAACCCCTCCATACTGCCCGAGAGCCAGCTGCAGGGCCATTCTAAAACACCCACTTTGTCATACGCCTCCTGAGAGTTTGCCCAGATGACGGGCCATTACTCTAAAGCGCTCTCGCAGTTAGCAAGGCAACAGCTCTGTAAATAAAACTGTCCAACCGCCCAGGAAGATGTCAATTAGAAACCTTCACCAAGTGCTAGCTCCCAAAGACCCCCGCAGACAAGGAAAGAATCTGAGAGACCAGAGTCCCAGGGTACCACTTGTCACCCTGAAGTGACTGCCGGAGGGTGGAGGGGCTGCTCATGAGTGTTCCCCAGAGAAGTCCTCATTGTCATGTGGACACAAGACCCCTGGGAACCTCAGACCAGGGACACACACAGGCTCCGCCAGTGGCTGGCAGCCCAGTGCAGCCCCGAGGCCTCGGTGAGCGGCAGGGCCCTGCCTCAAAGGGAGGTTGTCTGGGGCTGCCTCTCCCATGGCAGGACCCAGGAGCCAATGATTGACGGCCAGTGAGAGATGGCCTTGGGGGTGAACAGTGTCAGGACAAACGGAGGATGGACTGTGTTTCTCACACTGAACGCCTAGGGGGCCGTTTCCCGAGGGGGTGTCCCCAGGGGGCACTTCCTTAGGGGGGGTTCCTTCATCGGGGGCCGCATGTCTGGTCAGCGGCTGTGGGATGTGTCTGGCGCTCAGGAAGGCCGGCTGCTCTCGGATGCCACCCCCCGGGAGCACCTCCTCAGTTACACTCCGTGTCTGTCACAGATGCGCCACACGGATGCCGACGGCCAGCTCAGACTCAGAAAACCCAGTTACAGCTCCCTTGAACCCAGACCCCTGCACTGAGCCCCAGAACCAGTGACCCCTCACCTGGCAGGCAATTGCCTGTCAGCTCCTTGACAGGATCCGGGCCATGGTGCACCTGCCTGAGACCTGATGGGGAACTTGCTCTCCCTGTGCCCGGGGCTGGCATCAGCCTGTGGGCAGGGGCATAAAGCCCTCTGCCTTTGGAGGTAGCAGGTGTGTGTGTGTGTGTGTGTGTGTGTGTGTGTGTGTGTGTCTGAGTGTGAGTCCCGTGTGAGTGGGTGCACACAGCAAGCTCACAGAGATCTTTCTGGAAGGGACCGTCACCTCTGTGCCCCGAGAAGAGGCCTCTGGAGCAGCTGACGTGAGAACAGAGGACGCTTCCGGCTGAGGTGACTGTCAATACATGTTATAGTCGTGACCGCGAGCCAGTGCTTCTTACGTGCCAAACTAACGAATGCAGCGTCACAATGCTGCCGGTACAGCACAGGCTTTCCAGCCAGCAGGCAGGCGGGTGGGTGGGTGGCAGCGTGCCTCCACTGCAGGTGGGCACATACCTCATCAGAGGATGGCAGCTTTCCTCGGGAGGCCAAAGAGCGGGCACGACCCGCTGCCATGGGAACGGGGGACCGGAGGCTCCAGGTGGCTGGTGCCAACACACTTGGTTCCGGGTTCTGGTTCTCCCTCCAGCAGTGGCCAGGGGCGGCCTTACTCACACAGGACAATCGCGTTTCTTCTTCTGATTAGAAAGAGGGGTTGGGGGCCAGGAACAGAGATAGTGGCCACTATACAAGAACCTTCTCAGGCCCCTGCAGCAATGGGTGTGGGCCTGCAGGGGCCAATTGAGACAGATGTTCACCAGCATGAGGGGATGTGGTGCTCACCAAGGCTTAGGACCCTGCCCGTGGGCCAGGGGAGATCACACAGCGGCCCTGCGGGGCAGAAGCTGGCCCTTCTGAGGTGGCACAGGAGAAAGCAGCGGAAGAGAGGGGGCTCAGTGCTCAGGCTCGAGTGGAAGGGCCGGCAGGGAAGGCGAGTTTCTTTCTAGGGCTGGCGGTGGTGCTGTGGGGAAAGGCCTCGAGAGATCCCCCTGAGACTCAAGGTCCCCTTCCAGCCCCAGGTTTGATGCGGATCCTGGCGAAAGACTTCTCAGGGCGTCTGCACCACACCAGAAACAGGGACATCGGTGATGGCTCTCTGCAGATCCCCTTGAAGTGCAGGCCCGTGCCCTCAGCATGCACACGGGTGGGACACAGGCTGACACTCAACATCGTGGGATCCCATTCACCGATCCCTCCCCCTAGAGAGACATGAGGAGGAGCCCGAGGGCGATGCAGGTCAGCTGCATTCCTGCGTTGTTGCTATGAGTCACAAGGGACCAAACAGCAACATAGTCATCTGGTGAAAAAAAATAAACTAACACCGAAAGCCTAGCAATTCTGAGTGTTTTCTCTTCCAGTCGACCTTCCCTCCCTCTCCAAACTGGACGAGGAAGACGTGGCAGGACGCTGCTGAGAGGCAGGGCTGCGTTCTCCCTGTAGGACCAGGCCCTGCTGACCCAGCATCCCTGGGGAGGAGGGGCGCACAGCCTCAGGGCGCTGTGCACAGGCCATCCCTCGTGTTTGTGTTAACATGGTGTCCGGTGGCTCTCAGGCCCGCTGACCCATTTCTGCTCTTGATTTCCCAACAGTGTCCACATTTGTTTCCACACACTTGTCCTCGATCACTCGAAAAACAGTGCATTATCCCATGAGACAGGAACCGTGGGCGTCAGTGACTAAACACCCATCACAATGTTAGCTGAGGACCAGCTGAACAACGCTGAAGAAGTAGCTGGGGGAGGGGGTAATGGTGAGACGCAGGTGGCACCCACCCTGCATCAATGGTGGAGGGAGGAGGGACCCAGATAAAAGATGCATCCCCACACAGATGGCTGGGCTCTGCAGCGACACCTAGGGACCACTTGATCTCCTTCAGGAGAGCTGAGTCAGCCAACTAAACAGTTCCCGCTCAAGAGGCCGAAAATCCCTTCTGTGGCACCCAGTGGAATGAACAGCGCCTCCGGCCAACTCGGCCAGGCAGCTCCCAGGGAGCAGGCTGGGGCTCCAAGTGCCGGAGCAGACATCGTCTCCTACACGAGAGGGTGGAGCACCCCCAGGCCGGTGGCTTAGACCCACCAGCAGCTCAGAGGGAGAAAGATGAGGGTGTCTGCTCCCACACAGACGGACAGACCCAGAACACTGTGCAGGGTGGCTCTGAGTTGGACTCCACTCATAAGCTAAGGGGGGGCATTTAAAAACTTTTTAACATGGGTTCATTAATTAATGAGGGCTGATGAGCCCCTACACCTCACAGGTCAGGCATAAACACCAAGGGTTCTTTGGCATGTAAATGCTAGATGAAGCAAAAGCATGGTTAAGAAAAATGGTGGTGGGCAGTCTGTCACCAAAGGTCCCCCCCCCCCCCAGGCAGGCAGTGGTGGTGTGGCTCCCCCCAGGGCTCAGAGATGCCTGTTTCCCAGTGTTCTCAGGCACTGCTCTGCATCAGGACTGGATTCACACACATGAAATATTAACCTCCGGGAGTGCTCGTTTCAAATGCTCCATCTAGAGTTTCAAATCTGACTGCTAGGTGCACTCAGCGACATCTTCTGAAGAAACCAGGTGCGGGGCAGGGAAAGGCACCCCATTAAAACAGCCTCTTTCCAGAAAGGCCCATGATGTCCCTGAATAGAGGCCATGGGAAGCCAGGTCCCGGGGCGGCGGAATGCTCAGGCCGACACTCCTGTGCGTGCATGGAGCCTGTAAATGAAACGGCCTTCTCCGACTTCTCTCTGGACTCGCGGCTGAAGTCAAACGTTAACTAAGACAATCGAAGTGAGGTGTCATCAGGACTTGATGACGCCCCCCATGACTCGGTGTCGAGACCATGGATGGTGGCAGTCTCCGTGCCGCCTGTCCAGCCGTCGGTGGGTTCTGCCCCGCACAACCTAACACAGGGCCTGGGCGACGACAGAGACGCTGGGGGAGGAGTGGCAAGAGGTGGTCATGCTTCTCTTAAAGTAACAGCAGAGCCCGGGGGAGGCATCCAGGCCAGCCAGGCCATCCCTGAATCAGGGATCAGGTAAGACAGGACACTGGCAAACCTGCCTGGCGCTTGGCAACCATCCCACCAGGAGCGAGGCTCCCTTCCAGGGAGGAGGGGGACCCCGGCCGCCCGCTCACCTCCAGCTCCTGCTCCCGTTGCAGAGCAAACTGCTTGAAGGACTTGACGATGAGGCCAGCGTTGGAGCAGTCGTAGACGAAGATGGACGGGCTGCCCATCCAGGTCTGCAGGTCGTAGATGGACAGTGGGATGTACTGCGTGTAGTTCTGGAAAACATAACCCAGGACACGGTCACTCCACAGTTTGGGCTGGTGAGCCCCCACCACCCACGCCCTTCTCAGAAACACACTGTGACCCACTGGCAGTCCCACGCAGAGAACTTGGGAGCAGGCCGTGAACACGTCACACTCGCTGTAGCTGTGCCCAGCAGGTAGCCCCCACCCCACCCCACCCTCAGTGTCCCTCTCGCAGAGAGCACCGTGCGTGCGTGTACACGTGTGCACTCATGAGGGGATACACACTACTTCAAGTGGGTGCCGAGCTCACTCTCGGGTCCTTTCCAGCACTGCCCCACTGCCTCTCAGGCTGGCTGCTTGAGACCGCTGTCCCCTCCCTGCAGGGGTGGGGGCGGGGCAGGGCAAGGGTCTGGGAAACCCTCCTTGGGAGGCCTGTCCAGGCCTGTGCAATGTGGGCGTCTCCCGCTCACCCTCCTGCTGTTACCCTTCCTGGCCCAAGGAGGCGGAGTCTAACACCAGCACAGGGAGCCGCACACGAGGGCACTGACCAAGGTGGGAGGGCATACACCTCCAACCTGCAGAAAGGACGGCCACGGATGGGCAAACCAACAGAGCACAGGAAATGCCCAGGAACAGCTGCCCCACCCCCACCTCCACACAGCTGGATCGAGCCGGCATGCCACAGAGCTACGACTCTGGGTGGGTCAACAAGCCGAGGTGTGACAAACACGGCGTGAACCACAACACCAAAGACTTGTAGCATCATGGTCCCAGAAAGGCCACCTGGAGTGAGTGACCACACAGGCACTCAGGAAAAGGACAATACAGACCCACTGGCTCACGGCAGCCCTGCGGGCAACCTTCAGCATTATCAGTCCCTCTGACGTCCGGTTCCCCACACAGATGGGTGGGGCGGGCTCATGGGAGGTGAGCTGGCTGACCTGAGTCCACTCCCACCCTCTTTGACAAACAGAAGCCCCAGCTGGCCTTTGCCAGGCTCCTTTGAGACCAAATGCAGACCAGTGCACAGAAGTGGAAGGGCAGCGGTGTCTGGGTGTCCACGGCAGGGAGACAGATGGACATGCCTTCATGGATGCACCCCCAGCAAGGCCCCACCCCACGGGAGCTCTCACCTGGATGGGCGGGCTCCCAGCACACCACAGCGCCCGGCGTATTGCCACTGTGACACACCAGTGTCCTTGCACAAGATCAGGACCCCGTCTGTGAGTAGGAGGGGTTGTGCTGTTCACACGTGTCCCTGGCAGGCGCACGAGGAGGCGGTACAGATCGGTGGGGTGGAGGGAGGACTGAAGGGGTGGGGGGGTGTGTGTGCATGCGGACTCACTGCTCTGCGAAGCAGACAGAGCACACACCCAGTGCGGGTGATCTCCAGGGTTTGCTGGATGCACGTCCATCCGTCTCTCTCTAACGCTGCAATAATGAGCAGACTGCACAGAGCCTGCGTGATTACAGAGTAAAATGGCCCAGGTGCTGCCCGCTCTCTCCTGAAGCACTGGCAGGAAATTCATCCCACAGTTCGCTGGCTCAGTGGGGGCAGAGCCCCCTTGTTCGCTGCCACTGCAGCTTGAGGGGAGCCAGGCCACATGGGCCTCTGTGGAGTGGGTCTTGGGCAGCAGTGAAGTGGGCGGGGCAGAGAAGAGGCGACGGCACCGTGGACAGACTCTCTGGGCAGGTTACTTCCTGCTCAGGTGCCGGGCTCCACAGACAAAAGCGCACGGGAAGCCTGCTGACATGACTCTGGCCACAGTGACCATGGTCAGTGAGTGACCGGGAGGGTGGCAGGAGCATGATGATGAAGGCGGTAGGAGCTACACAGAGGTGGCAGGGGTGGTGGTGGTGTGTGTGCTGGGGAGCATGGCAGGGAGGGTGGCAGGTGTAATCAAAGGATTGTAAGGTACACTTTCCATGTCCATAGCCTTTGGGTTGAAATGTGTTAGTTGCCACCTAAGTGTTAGCCTGTTGACAGCTACTGCTCTGTCTGTCACCCAAGCTCACGAGCAAGGAGGCACCCTTAGACGGGGTCAAGAGCACCAGGAGCACAGCTGGCCGTCTCGAACCCTCTGGGGCCAGGTGCGCCAATGGCAGACCCTGACTACTCCCTCCTGCTCCACCCTGGTTCTCACTCACGGGGTGGCTAGGAGCCTCAGGGTTCTGGAAGGGGGCCCAGGTTCAGCTTTGAGCTACGTGGGGGCCACCATTGTGCTATGTCCAGCGGGAGGCCACATAGAGACTAGGCTGAATACAGAGGTGGTGGCAATGGCAGCTAGGAGGCCGGGCCTGCTGGCAGAGAGTCTCCAAGCCACTTACTGCTCTCGGCTGTGCTGCAGGGACAGAATGTCAAGCACCCTGAGGTGATATCAGCGCTCCTCCTTGTGCAAGCTGCCAGACTCTGGCAGTCAGTCCCATTGCTTCTGAGGTGGCAGTTCCACTCCAAAAGCCAGCGTGTGCCAGGCTCAAGCAGGGGCCCCCTGGGACTTGGGGACAGCTCTACTAAGTCACAGTGTGTGTGTTGGGGTGGGGTGACCTTTAAGGAGGGTGCTCACAAGAACAGGGACTCCGACGTCCATTTCCCATCTCACCACCATGCAGTGAGGGCAGCAGGAGAGCACGCCCAATGGCAGCCAGTGCCGCCTCCTGGTCCCGTGGAATATTCTGGTGGCTGCTCCACCCAGGCCCCATCTCCTCCCCCACCAGCCCAGCCAGGCAGCAATCCCCAAGGCTTTGCTTTTGCTTCAAACAAAGGCTCAGGCTCAGCTTTCTGATCAATCTGTCTGTCCCCGTCTGTCAGGCCGAGCTACACTGTGCGACAACCAGACCAGTGGCTCAGAACCCCAAACTCACAGCCACCAAGTCCAGCCAGACGCACAGTGACCCGAGGGACTGAGCAACGCTGTACCTGTGGGTTCCCGGGGCTGAATCTTTACAAGAGCAGACCTTTCTCTGCGAGCGGCTGGTGAGTTTGAACTGCTGACCTTGCAGTTCACAGCCCGTGTAACCTAGTCGGCCCCCAGGATGCCTCACGACTGTGAGGAGCGAGCCCTGCCCAGTGCTGAGTGCACAGCCATGGCCTCCTGGCCTGGGCTCCGCCATTCTGGGGGTGACACAGGCACACCATCCAGAGCCCTGGGGTGCAGCGGTCACAGGCTGGGCCACTCACAAGGCCAGCAGTTCAGAACCACCAGCCTCTCTTGTGGGAGAAAGATGAGATAGTTCCACCCTGTCCTCCGAGGGCTCCGGGTGGGCTGGGGACATGCTTCTTGGGGCGCACTTTGTCAGAGTGGGAGGTGGGGCCAGCCCCACCAGGGTGTCCCGTTTCCTCCACCTAGCAGTGGGCACAGGAAACAAACATTTATATCTCTATAGGTACAGCGCCTAATACTGGGAAAGAGAACATTTAATGGGAATCTACAGATAAGTTTTTGAAAAGTAATTTTTGCATGATTAAGACTTTCTAAGTATTTCACAAAACCAAAACTCTACGTGATAAAACACTGATAAAGCTGGTGTGTGTATGTGTGTGTAAAGTCACATGGCAACTGAAGGAAAGACTGGAAATACCGGGGCAGACAATGTCTGCCAACAACTGCTGTGCGTCGACGGAACATCTGCTGGGAGAACATACTCTAGGTCAATAATGGCCGAGGACGGGTGAGTTTACGAGAGTGGAAAGCCCTGTCTTTCTCCTGCAGAGGCCTGGTGATTTCACACTGTGGGCTCTGAGGACTGCAGCCCTCCTCGTAACCACCATTCCACCAGGACCGCCCCCTACACACACACACACACACGACGAGTGGGCAAAAGCCTGGTGGATGTGTACACGGAGTCAGCCTTTAGGGGATCGCTGAGTGACCTCTCTCAAAAGGAGAAATGCATCCACATCCTGCCTTGACCCTGCCATTCCCCGCCTGGGATCCCGTCCACACCGAGCGAGCGTGGCACTCAGACAAAGCACAGACGGACGCCAAGCTGCTTACAAGAACAGGAACTCGGAAACAGCCTAAAGGGCTGCCATGGGGGCTCATGAAATGCAAACTACGGGAAAGCTGCACATAAGGGTGATCAAGAGATGATGGTGGAAACAAGTTGCACAACATGTGACAGAGAACACACACGCAGGGCTTTTAAGATTCTATGCTACATACCCTTGCACATGTGATACACACACGGGCACGGGCACACACAGGTGAGGCAGAATGTGTGGCTACTCGGGTTCCATTTCCCACGTGTACACACCTTCCCAAACCACGGCAACCTGGAGTGCCATCGCAAGTCAGACACCAGCTCTTTAGATGGATTAGAAGCTGTAAGGGTGGTGCCCAATAAGAGCAATTTAAGACTACCATATATTTGTTATTTCCAAACTCCTGCACCTTTTTGTGACCTGTCTGGGTTCAGGAGACATCGTTCTGCCTCTGAATGAGCGATAGTGAAAGTTCTGCCCCGTTCCCAGCCCTGTTTGTGTCAACAGTGTTCAGTCACTTAAATGACTATTCTGTACACATTCACAATCTGTGTATTTTAGTCTACAAAGCTGTCCTATACATATATACTTTGCTCTTCTCAACAGTATTTTAAATTCTATAACATTGGCTAAATTAATGATATTAGCAATAGAATTACCATCTGCCCCAGAGGGATGATTTAAAATCTTCCCCAATAAAATTACAACAATGTCTCCAAAATGGATCATGGATCCATATAAGCCATAGCTCTATGAGTGGATAAACCACACCTCTATAAGTGGACAAGCCACAGCTCTATGAGTGGACAAACCACAGCTCTATGAGTGGACAAACCACAGCTCTATGAGTGGATAA